TTTTTTATACTAGGTTGGACCATTTCTTTCCTAAAAAACAAGTAATTCTTTTACATATCAAAGCAGGCCAATTAATTTTTTACGAAACATTGAACAATACATTATCTGCACATATTTCTCACTATTATCACCCACGGCACCGCGCGGGCCCTGACTAGTATTACATACATGAGCGACTAGCAGAAGAAAGTTTGTAATTAATATTCCTGTTGAGCTCCCTGGTCACCCAGGATTGCAAGGAGGATCTACTTTCGAAAACGCAGACTGTAGCGCAATAAGAACTCAGTTATCTAACGATAAAGTAACAAATCTAATTTAACTATTTCGTCCAAGATTTTAGAGTACCCTTTCTTGCAAACTTAACTTTGATCACAGGGGGTTCAGATGGCTCGTCAGCAAAGTGGACCCAGTAATCGCGCATACGAGATATGAGTTGCATTCAGTAATTCACATGGGAAAATGGAAGTCCCAAAATGGCAGCGAACCAATAAATAACGAGACTGTCCACAGTCCACATGACTAAAGATTAAACTAAGAGTCTAAGACACATCTTCATATCTTACAAATTAGTGTTCATAAGGTCTATATCTGTTTGTACCTGCAAGGTGGAGCCAGCTGTTGGTGCAGCATTATTATCATGGTAGGTATGTGGAGAAAGAAAACATGTGTGCATACATGAGACTCTGTTTAAGTAAAATTTGAAGATGTCATCAAATCTCTGATTGCACGCGTGCACAGAAACATATATACACTCTACTACAAGATAGTAAGCAAAGTATGCTCTTTTTTTGGCGAATAGTAAGCAAAGTATGCTTTGCCTCAGTTTCAGTCATCTGTTGCTCATGCAAACAGCCAAGCAATGGCCATAGTAGTATAGCAACCTGCCATGCATTCATCGCACAGATGCTCAATTATCAGGAAATTTTAAATTTCTTTTAAAGAAACTAATGAAATTTTAACAACAAATATAGATCGAGCAACTTGATACAGTTCTGTATCAAAAACAAAAATTTATTGCCATAGAAAGGTTTGCTTCTTTGTAAATGAACAAATGTTTACATGAGAATTAGTACAAACCAGGACTCCAAAATTTACAAGGGCAAAAAATAACTAAAATTCAGTAGAAGTCATTTCTATAAAGGCTGCTGGCTGTCACCCTCACAGAATTTGAACTATTGACAATTCATGTATTCACAGGACATAAATCCACCCAATCATCCGTGGAATGAGGAGCATCACAGGGTAAAAAATGGCTATAGGGAGTTAAGGACACTGCAGGAAAACTGAAAACTACGTCAACCAAAAACTAGAGCATGAGGGACACTCCACACAAACCAAGCACATTGAACTAGGAAATGGAGCGACAGATAACCACAGTTCACATGACACAAAGCAAAATCTCATTGAGTACATCAGTGAACCATCCCCACAATAACAGCAGAAAGAAAGAATCTAATAGGCACTACCAAGAAATTTATAAACGGAATGAGCACCTGTGCAGCAATTCCCGTACCATGGCAACAAATAGCCACGTTGAGGCCATCCATATCCCAGAAGGGTAACCGATGAAATCATAGAGCCCGATAACATGTAATATAAAAATTGATGGAACATGTAAACAAAGTTCTTAGATCCTATAATGAGCAGATACAAGCATAGTACATAGACACCATAGGATCCATATAGTATACTCTTTAGCACAACCATTGAAAGTAGGCACACGAGCTATAACAGCACAGGTGCCACACTCTTTCTTATCAGAGTTCAGCTTCTTATGACATCCTGCTAGAAGATATTTGAGAAAGCATTCAAAACCTGCAGAAGCAGAGCAAATACCTCAGCGCCCCCTTTCAAAATTAATGCGGGACCTCCCAGATCCACCATCATAATCATCCCTCATCGAGGACCCACCACTCGCCTTCATGGTTCCTCCACCTCCGATCTTCTCCACAGCTTTCTTACCCTTCTTCACCTCAGTCAAGAACTGATCCAGACCGAATGGATCATTTTCTTCCTGCTTATCGAACTCCACAGGCCTGTCTCGCTTGCCAGTCCTCTCTGAAGCACCAGTAAATCCCTTGTCAGGCTTGAACCTCTCAGTCTTCATAACCTTCTCCAACTGCTCATCTGCATCACCATATACATCAGAATCCCCATCCTTCTTAGGCCTGTATAGTGTGGACATCGTGGACTGTGCTGTGAAGAGACCCTTGGAGTAGATGTTGTACTGATCATCTGTGGCAAAACCAGAGTCCATTCCCTTGTCCTGGTTGAACAGCCGCTGGTCATACATGACCTCACCACCTTTTGCACCACCAGTGCTTGCCATACCAAGAGCAATCTTCTCACTGATATCACGATCCCTGTCTCTAGTGATCTTACTCTTCTTGCCCATTGCAGCATCCTTGGCTTCCAGCCTCCTCTCCCTCTCCCTCTCACGTCTGCGCTCCTCACGGATTCTATCACGCTCAATCCTTGCTTCCCTCTCTTCTCTGGACTCCCTGCGCTGCTCACGCGGTTCACGTGGTTCACGCAGTTGCTCCATATCCATATCTTCATCAACAGCCTCAACTGCTCCCCTGCCGCCACCAGCAGGCACACCTGAAGGTGCAGGCGGGGCACCAGTCCTCTCCATACGTGCCCTTTGGGCAAGAGCCCTTAGCTCTTGCTCCTTCCTCTCCTTCTCCTTCAGCATAAGTTCCCTCTGAACCTTGGAGCGCATCTGCACTGCCTCCCTCGCCTTCTGCTCTGCCACATACAGTGCTTCAGAAAGCTTTGCAAAGTTATCATTGATCTGCACCTCCTGCAGCCCCCTCCCATCAGCCGCCAACCTCTTATCAAGCGGAATCGTGTAACCCTTTGGATTTTTCCAATTTGAAATGCAAGGTGGGATCTTCCAATCCTGCTGATCCTTCACTGTAACTGGCCGTGGCGGCGAGTGCATCACTGGCACAGGTGGTGACCCAGACGCCCGGGGCACACGCTTGTGCTTGAACTTTGGTGGCTCAAGAGGATCCACTGCCATCTCTGACATCCTAATGATCCTCTCCTTTGCACCTGAATTGAAGGCCGCGGATTGCTGGGACGGCTTATACTTGATGAACTTGGACTCAGAATCATGAGTCGGCACATTCTTGGGCTGAGCTGCAGAGAGGCGGACGTTGACAACCTTCTCCAAGGCGGCCTTGGTCCGTTCAGTGGTCTCCTCGATCTTCTTCTGCTCCTCCTCGTCGTCGGACATCGCCTGGGAATCGGCCGTGGCTATCTTCGGCACGAGGTCGCTATGCTTGGAGTAGACGATCTTGCCTGCGTTCTCCCCTTGCTTGACGACGGCGTCGAAGGCGACGCTGCCGTGCGCGTCGACGGTGAGCGCAAGGATCTTGGACCCGCCCTTATCATCGCGGCGTCCCATGCCGAGGGGTACTGCGCGACGTGGATCTCCGGGAAGGCGCCGCCATCGCCGAAGTCCTCCGGCCGTCGCGGCACGAACCCCGTCCGCTTTCCGTACGGAGGCACGGGACGGGCGGCGGCCGCGGGCCTCGCTGCCGCGGCCGCCTGCGCCGACTCACCTCCGTAACGCTCCTTGAACCAGGGGTCGCTGCTGTGGTCGTAGAAGGTGGACGCCGACGTCTTGGGCGCCGGTAGGAGATCCTTGAGCGTCGCCATGGAGGCGGCGGCGCGCGCTGCGTGTTGGATCTAGGGCCAACTAGGGTTCCGGCGAGTCGCCTGGTGGGGATTGGGGGAATCGACGAGAAGGAGAAGCTAGGGTTTGATTCTAATTTGGGGGAAAGTGATAAGGGGGTGACTAGGACGGTAGGTCAAGGCGGCGATTAGTTGGGCTGGGCTGGGCTTTTTGCCGATTCGGTAAGGCCCACTTCAGAAGCAAAACAGGTAAGCTCACAGCTGACGCGTTCGCGTCGCTTCGCCGGTCAAAACGCAGGATAATCCCGCAAACGGCTTGCGTCGCGTTCGCTTCTGCCGACCGCGCGCCGCCCAAAAGCCACCGTTCAACGGAGACGCGAGCTCCTCGTCGGCTCGTCCCCTCCTGTGCCCCTGCCGACCCGCTCCGCCGTTAGGGTTAGCGCCGGCGCCGGCGCCCAAGCGTCACCTCGCCCTGGGGCGCGTCTCCCCTCCGCCGATACACCGACCCACCCCGTGCGCCGCCGGCCCCGCGCCTGAGGACGGCCGCTACGCCCGCGCCCGCAGGTCATGCCGCTTTCCTTCTTCAATTCCCCTCCTGCAGATGCTTATATATCAAGGCAGTAGCTTGTGATTAAAATATACGACGTGTTTGATTTTAAGCATTGCCTTGTGCAATTCCAGTATTCCACTGCCACCGTGGCTTTCCCTTAGGTTTTTGCAATATTGGCTTTGCGTTAAACGGATGTACGGATGTACCTAATTATTAAATAATTTGTTGAGTAGCAGTACTAGGATCAATGGAGATCGATCAATCAATAATGTAAAGTTTCAACCGAGTTGCAGTACAGATCGATGGGCATGATTTTTCTCATTGTGCAGCATGTGGATTAATATCTCTATATGCCAACACGTTTCCATCTTCATATATGCCCATTGATATTTGTAGATGGAAAAGCCTCCAAAGGTTCAGGCAAAATGGGATGCTTTTGTTGTCAAAGTTTTTAGCGACATTTGTGTGGAAGAAGTCATTGCCAACAATAGACCACAATAGTGCTTGAATCGCGTAGGCTACGCAAATCTTGTAACATTCATTAGACCAAATTCATGAAAAATGACTACTTGTATGTATACTCAAAACAAGAGCCAATTACGACATCTTGCCGCATTTTGTTCTGCCCACCAATCTGCGCCAGCCGAGATACATCCAGTCATAGGATCCCTCTCTAATCCAGCAGCTCTAATGCTCAGAGTCTTCCATTGGTTATGTTTCTTTCTCAGTGCATCCCACATGTTCTTCATTTGTTCTTTTGTATATGACCTCTTAGTACGATCATGGAACTTCCTTATTCTTTCAGGCTATGCCAGGTTGTATAACTTTTGAAACTTCACCACTTGAGCATGAGGACCAGATGCAGATCATGTTTGAATCTATTAGAAGTGGTGATGGTGAGGGTGAGGTTCAGAGTGATGGTGGTGGTGGTGGTGAGGATGATGGTGAGGGGGGTGACACACCAAAGGTTAGATCCACCGTAGATAAACGGGTTGAGAAAAGAGCAGCTCATTATTCTCCCAAGGGGAGCAAGAAGACGAAGAATTTTAGAGATCAAGATGAGATGAAGGCCCCAAGTAAAAATTCAGCAACTTCACATGTGGTTGATCATGTTAAGAAGAGATTGCTAGTATGTTGTATCAAGTCATTGAGGATGGGGCTGAAGAAGGGAGTGATGAACACTACTATGCCACACGCCTTATGAAGGAGTATCGCGACGTGTTCATTACTTTGAAGGCGCCAAATGGGAGATTGAATTGGCTGAGGAGGGAATGGGAGGATAGGTAGTGGTGTTGTCCAATTAAATAGTGTTGTGCACAGGTGGCCGGTCCTTTCTATTAGGAAGTATATATGTGTATTAGGAAGCTTGTTCATTCCTTCCATGTACACTGATTGTATTCCATATATATCAAGCCTGATTGGCTATATAATAGAGGTCACCCCCTCATTAGGGGTGAGGTGTTTTCCCATATCCTTTCTACATGGTATCAGCTAATTAGATCCTGAGCCTTCTCCTTTCTCCCTGCGCCCTCTTCCCCTTCCTCCTGCGCCTTCCCCTCCTCTGCTGCTGAGCCATGGCCACCGTCCCCCTGGATCCGGCGCCCCCCACAGCCCCTGCTGTTGGCCATGTGCCGCCTCCTGCTGCCAATGGTGGCACCTCTGTGCCGCCCACTGCCACTGGCAGTTTCTCTGGTGTTCCTGCCGGCGCCACGCCCGGCAGCGACGACTTCATCTCCTCTACCGTCCAACCATATGCCACTATCAACGTCAAGTCCCATATTCCGTGACGCTGACGATGAAGTCCACTGCCTACTCCAGATGGGCGTCCTACTTCAAGTCTTTTGTGCGGCAAGTTCGGCCTCCGGTCGCACATCGATGGCACGATGCCACCTCGCCCCCAGGATCCTGCTTGGGATCAGGCGGACTGCTGCGTCCGCTCCTGGTTCTTTGGCTCCGTCGACGAGTCCGTCCTCGACCTCGCCATGACCGATGACAACCAGACCGCCCGGGACCTCTGGCTCGCCATTGAGGGCCTCTTCCGCGCCAACAGGCAGTCTCGGGCGATCTTCCTCAGCCATGATTTCCACTCCATGATGCAGGGCGACTCCACCATCGTCGAGTATTGCGGCCGCATGAAGACCCTCGCCGACGGCCTCCACGACATCGGTCATCCCGTTCAGGACTTGCAGCTTGTCCTAAACCACCTCCGTGGTCTCAACCCTCGCTTCACCACCACAGCCGACAACATCGCCTACTCCGCCACCGGCTTTCCATCCTTCAACCAGGCACGAGACATGCTGGCTCTGAAGGAACTTCGCCTCGCTAACGAGGAGAAGGTCTCCAACTCCACCGCCCTACTTGTCGGGCATGCTTTGTTCTCCTCCGGCTGTCCAGGCGGGTGTCGCCCACCTGCTGGACCTGTTCTGCCTGGCGGCAGCAGCAACAATGGCGACGGTGGCAGCAAGAAGAAGGGCGATAGCGGCGGCTTCCTAGGCCCCATCCGGCAATCCTCGCCCCACCGCCCCGTGGTTCTGCTTTTGGATCCCGCACCAACTCCTGAGCGCTCCAGCTTCAAGAAGAAGCGGTCGAGGCGAGGGTGGCGTCTTTGGCGCCCTAGTCTTCTGGGCCAACCCCCGCAGGCCCACGCTGCCTACGTCCCCGCACCGGGACTCATCATTGCCCAGATGGCACTACAAAATGGTGGCTGGGTCGTTGACTCAGGAGCCTCCGGTCACATGTCGTCTACGGATGGTATTCTTCTTTCCAGCATCCCTCCATCTCACTCCTCCATTATCAGAGGTAATGGACACACCTTCCACCCGTGCCATGGCAACTCTACCCTCAAAGGCACCCCCACCTCCAGGTTTTCGGCAACAAACAACATCCTTGTTGTCCCCTCATTAATTCGAATCTGATTTATGTTCGTCGCGTTACTAAAGATAATAACTCGCACCATCGAGTTTGACGCTTTTGGTTTCTCTCTGTCAAGGATTTTTACGACCAGATCACGAGATTCTTCACTGCAATAGCACCGGCGATCTTTACGCCATTCCTCCGGCCGCCACGCCCAGCACCCACGCCACGGTCTCACCATCTCATCCAGTTTGTGGCATCTCCGTCTCGGTCATCCCGGTCCTGTTGCCATCACTACACTTAGACAGAGAGCATCCATTTCTTGTAATAAAGACAGTCACGCTCTATGTCATTCATGTCAATTAGGGAAACATGTGAGGTTACCTTTCTCTAATTCCAGTTCTCGCAGTTCCACTCCTTTTGAGTTAGTCCATTGTGATGTCTAGACTTCTCCAGTATCTAGTATTTCTGGTTATCGCTACTACCTTGTCATTTTGGATGATTTCTCACATTTCTGCTGGACGACTCCTCTTGTTCACAAATCTGAAGTCACCAACCACGTCACAGCCTTCTGTGCATATGCCACTACATGTTCAGTCTTCCCGTTCGCAGCATCCAAGCTGACAACGGAACCGAGTTTGTTAATAAGACTCTCACATCTTTTTTGACTTCTCGAGGCATCCACCGCGCCTCTCCTGTCCCTACACCTCTCCTCAAAATGGGAAAGCTGAGCGTGTCCTCCGCACCCTTAATAATGTCACTCGCACCATGTTGATTCATGCCTCCATGGCTGTAACACCCGGGTGTTTTAAATACTAAAACTTGCCATGACATCATATGCATTGCAAAGCATCTGGGCATATTGAAAACTTGGATATGCATTTACTAAAACAAGTTTACTTTATGTTGTATGAGTAAATTGTATTGGTTGAATCAAGTTTGAAATACTTGTATTGGTTTGAAATTCCGAAAACCTCGCTTTTCAGCATTTAAATCCTACCCTGAAAGAAAAATCCATTTCAAAATCTAGACAGAATTAGGAGATGGTTATAGAAGCAAAGTTGTAGAACTTTCATTTTTGAACAACTTTTGTTTTTGGAGATTTTTAAGTTGTTATGAAGATTTGAGAGTAATTTGTGAATTTTGGCGTATGGCAATTTTGTAATTTCTGTGAACAGTGTTCACCGCCTAAGCTACATTGCCGTCGGACCTTCTTCGCGTTCAGTGCGTGTCGTGGCCGTCTTTGATGTCGCTATGCGCGGAAATAGCTCCGTCGTGGCTTCCTTGAGCTTCTGCCCATTATAAGTACCAAGACGTCGTCATCGCTGCGTTTTCTTCCTTTGTTTTCACCACATTTGTTGCCATCTCGGTAAAGGCCGTCCTAGTTCCATCTTTTCCTTGCGAATCCAGCCCAGTTTTAGCCTTGGTCGCTGAAATTGCCGAGAACTTCGTTGTCCACGTTTTTCTTCCTCGAGGTCAACAACTTCACCGCAGCTGGCGTGTCATCGTGGCGAGCTTTTCGGTGAGCCATTGTCTCTAATCGATTAGCTTACGGTTTCGTTTGATCTTGTAGTCTTTAGTCGATTGTTGTTTACTCATTTTGATCACTGCGATCCGCATTTATCTTTGCTTCGGATGGTTCACCGTAGTGGTCGGATGGTTCACCGTAGTGGTGGGGATGGTTCACCATAGTGGTCGGATGGTTCACCGTAGTGGTCGGATGGTTCACCATAGTGGTTAGTGGTCGGATAGCCCACCATAGTGGTCGGAGAGTTCACCAAAGTGATCGGTGCTAAGCGTGGTCACACAGATTCTGAATATGGTTTGGTTAGTTTGGTTTGTAATCATCTTGCAAGAAAAAAATTGTATCCAATTTATTAATTTTTGCATCCATCATCGAGCATCATGTTTCATATTCCACATCATGTTAAACATGGCAATGTTACTACGTGTAGTAAACGAAGGTGAACGCGTGGTAGTTAATCAAGTTGCGGAGGAGGTTGATCTTGTCGAAGACTTGTGAAACGTCGCGGGGCGGACTTTTCCGTCAACGAAGGCAAGCCCGGATGCATATAACCCTACCTTGTATTTTACAAATTGATTTCACTTTTGCTTTTCAATCTCCAAGTGGAAACCTAATTGTTGCATTATCAACCTTGTTGTTCCATATCTACCTTGTTACCCGTTTAAAATCGTCGTATATGCCTAGTTATGCTTAGCTCTCCTTAGACCGATCGAGTTGGGTGATTACCACACCGCAAGTTTTAAATGGAACATTGGTTAATTATGTTAGCATGTGATATGGGAATGTGGAGTAATAAATCTAGACCCGATGGGACTTTGGTGTGTGTGAGCCACAAGACATGGAGGTCTTGTGAGCGGTTTCTCACACTGTGTCGATTAAAACACGTCCGTTGTTGAATTGCATGAGGTGAGAATTTGTAGTACTAACCATATACTCTAAGCCCTTGAACTTGGCGATTCTATTACGAGAATGGCTACTCAAGCCGGGAGTGGAGAGATGGCGGAATAGCGTCCCACGTGGCCATGGGCCGGAATGGTGGAATTCTCGGGTCACTTCTTGTTTCATCCAAGGGTAGGTTGGTATATCACCTGCATATGTCATGTGGTCCTCCCATGGGTTTATAATCGGTTCCACGTTGCTCCTCGGTTATGGAGACTCAACTCACTGCTCATCATCGTAGTATTAATAACCGGAACTCAAAATGGTTCGAGAAAGTGTTGGATATGAAGTTTCATGATCTTAATACGGATCGTGTCGACTTTGTATATGATCTTATGAGATTTTGAATATTGATACAAAGAATTTTGTTAAAGTGCTTTTAAGCCAAAGAACTTTGATTATTGCTAAAGCCATACCTTGAATCCTCTGAGCCAGCATTCCTAGTCTTTTCAGCTTTTATTTCGGTTAAGTCTTGTTGAGTACTTTTCACTCGTGGTTTGTTGACCCTTGTTGCGGTGAGGCTCATGAGCGGATGTTTTGGATCGTCTTTGCATGACCTGTTGTTCATCTTGATGATGATAAGTAATGTGTGGCCCTTAGGCGAGCCACTCCCTACTTTGGTTTGTATTAATAATCGAACTTAGTTTGTAAGGTTTGAAATAAATGTTTTGTAAACTAAGTTATTGTAAGACTTCCATTGAATTACTCGGTGTAGATATTTGAATAAATGTTGTAATTGCAATAACTACGTAATGTGATCCCTTTCAGAAATCGTGGATGATTCGGGGTTCTCCGAGGACACCCGACAGTCTTCTTAAGTTATCGGTAACATATGCATAAATGTCAATGGTCGTTGGACAGTGACAGGTGCATGTGGGCCCTATAATTTAGGAGGTTCTGCCACAATGGCCACCCCATACTGGGTCGAGGCACTCGCTACCGCCACTTATCTTCTGAACAGACGCCCTTG